ATGACTGCACTTTTATGGCGCATCAAGAGAACCATCTACAGACCATCGTAGGCAGATTCTCCAAAGCAACAAAGCTGTTTGGCTTAACCATCAGCCTCTGCAAGACAGAAGTTCTATACCAGCCTGCACCAGGGAGAGAAGCAGACCAGCCGTGCATCACCATCGATGGCACCCAGCTCTCAAATGTTACCACCTTCAAGTACCTGGGCAGCACAATCTCCAGCAACGGATCCCTGGACCAGGAGATCAATACCAGTGTCCAAAAGGCCAGTCAAGCTCTTGGGAGACTGCGCTCCAAAGTTCTACAACACAGCGGCATTCGCCTCTCCACCAAGCTCAAAGTATACAGAGCAGTGGTCCTCATCTCACTTCTGTACGGCTGCGAAACATGGAGACAACAAACAGCTGGAGCAGTTCCACCATCGCTCCCTTTCGGTCAGTCATGAAGATCCGCTGGCAGGACAAAGTCACCAACCAAGAAGTCCTAGACAGAGCTGGCTCAACAAGCATTGAATCCATGATTCTGAAAATGCAGCTCCGATGGTCTGGCCACGTCATCCGCATGGACCCACAGAGGATGCCAAAGCAGGTGTTCTTTGGAGAGCTAGCCGCAGGGTCCAGACACCAAAAGCTCCCAAAGAAAAGATTCAAAGATAACTTCAAGTCACATCTAAAATGGGCTGACCTGAACCCAAAGCAGTTGGAGCTTGCTGCCTCTGACAGAGCCAGTTGGTGCGACCGAACTAATAAAGCAGCCAGCACATTTGAAGAGGACCGTCACCATCATCTTGCAGCTGCAAGAGAACGCAGACACAGAGCCGCCACTGCCCCTGCCCCAACTACTGGCGAACCTTGCCCCCTCTACAACCACCTCTGTGTTTCTGCCTTTGGGCTTCGAATCCACATGAGGACCCACAGATGACTGCACAAGCCTTGATCGTCATTCTCGACTCCCGAGAGACTATCTACCATAGTTTAAAAAAATAATAAAAACTCATAATGTTGAGTTAATACAAATTAAAAACAGAAACCAACACATTCTTAATTGTGAAAGTTTATCCAATTTCCTCAGGAATTTAAATTTCGGTGCAATGTTTTGCCATCTTGAAACTTATTGATATTTATTGTGAGTGATGACACATTGACCGTTCCAAGATGGCAGACACATCAACGTGTCTGGAGAAGTTGAAAGTGGCATTTACCTATACATATCTATGCTTCAGTTCCTAAGAAGAGAGACAGAAAGAGACTTAGTTGGGTAAAAGAACACAATTAGTCTGTCCTGAGGTTTGAATTGATGAATAGTCATTGAACATGCCCATTGGAAAAACTAGAATATTCTAGTGCAAGTGAAAAGTGAAAATGGAAGTTCTACTAGGAAGACTTAATGCTATGTCACGCATTACAATTAGATCTAGCCAATCGTCACTCGACACAAGAATTATATAAGCTCTTTACTCACCCTTCCTTGTGTTTGCAGAAACTGACATTGACGTTCCCCGCCATCCTCCCCACCACCACCAGGTTGGCCCTGTCCATGCAGGGGGGTAGGCCCCTGCCTTCGTCTCGGCAGTAATAGCTAAATCTTCAACCTACACATTCAAGCTACGGATGGAGCCTACGCCAAAGAATTCTGTTTTTTATGTCTTGGATTTGTAAATAAATTATTTCGAATCTTTCACCTCCAGAGTCTTTCTGGTAGAACTAAAATGTCTCTAAAATTTTGTCTTAACTTGTAAGTGAAATTGTCCTTGGTTGTTGGCAAACCCTACAAACTTTGGTTGGCTCTGTATAATAGATGCCAGTTCTTCAAGTACTGACCATGACTGAGGACCAAGTGATGACAGAACAAGCTTATCTTGGTGAATACTTGTTTTGTGTTAGCTGAGTGTCTCCAGTGTCCCTGCAAGGTCAGGTTTGATGTGTGCAAAATTTATTTTGTGTTGAAGAACTCAGAACTCAGGAACCCAAGAACAGAGCTGCAGTCTAATGTGCTAAGGGTGGTTTTTTGTTCTCATAGTCTTTCATGAGGTGCCATGCATGCATATGTAACTTCTGTACACTTTAAAAGCACACTGTGATTCCCTTCGGCACAGAGAAGAGCTATTAAAACTTAGAGAAGACATCCTCGCAAACACACACACACACACACACATATGTGCACATAAACAAACATACACACACTTTGCTGTGGGTGCACTCCTCACCATTAATGCATCGAGTTCAAGCTCACCTCCTTCCCCCTCAATATACCCAAAATATTGCTTTTAAGATGACTTTGATGTGTATGTATGTATGTGTGTTCGTGAAGGGAGCAAGCTGAAAGGCAGATGCATTGTGTGAATGGGAGCGTAAGTAAAAAGTATTTTCACAGATGTCTGTTGATGGGATTACTCACACTCTCTCAGCCTAAGGACAGAAGTGAGAGAATAAGAGAGAGATTTGGGAAAGGAGAGATAGAGAGTGTGTGTACATGATTTAACAGCTAGCTCTCTGAAAGCGCTGAAGATCAGAGATCGTGTTGTGAGCCGCCCATCATTCTGCTAATCCAGAGAGCTCACATCCGCATTAACACCCCCACATCACACGAAATGCTATCGGCGGCAATGGCTGCCGGGATTTTTTGCGAAACCGGAAAAGAGAAGGGTTTGATTGAAGGTCTGGCAGAAAGTAGAGAGTAGAGGTCCAGTAAAACAGAATGATGTGGATGTTGACGTTGTTTTTTGTGTGTGTGTGTGTGTGTGTGGGGGGGGGACTAGAAAGGCAAGAAATGTATGAGAACTTGAGGCTGCTGTCTCATCCTGGTCTAGATCAAGGCTTGACTAGATCTATATGAGCTATTCCCACCTCCCACATGAGAATAAGCACACAGCATCTCTAATGGAGATTCGTCGAACCCAATAACGCAGACATTGAGCATTACAATTTACGCCTGTTATTGTAAGTTGATAAATGTTATTTAAAAATGGCAGAACACACCCTTTTCTTGTGTGATTTATACGGTGGGACTTCAAGGAGGTGTTGACTTTACACTGTTTCAAATTAATGTTATTCCTCTTCTTTAACTCCTGGGGGTCTCAAAGTGTAAAACCCTGATAGAAATGCAGCAGGAGTCCTTTTGAAGTAGCTGAAGTGGAAGGCATTTTATCATAGTTTGTTCATTTGGGTGTCCATAAAATACAGTCACTGTTGGGGGAATTGTACTGTAGCAGCAATAGTGTGGAAAAAGATAGTTTGTTAAAGATAAACCTTTACTTGGTTGCCAACAGCTGTTTGCTGTTTCTTTATTGTTTACAGTGAAGAAAATCCCATTTGTGTTTTTTACCACTTTCATAAGTTCGCCTGCCCATCCAGTCCTGAGGTTAATGGCAAACGAATTTGGCTTACAGTCCTTGATGGAGGCTCGAACCCGAAGCTCGGCTTGAGCTCTGAGTTCAACCCCATTTTGTGATACTACATAGAGGGAATAATAACAGAAATAGAGGACGAGATGGGGGAGGTGGAATGATGCCAGAAGAATTGTTGCTGGGACGGTATATAGGCTTGTGATGAGGATTGACAGGACTGAATGATTAGACTCCTACCGAACCTACACTTGGAAGTTGGAACTTCATTTATTTACAGCTACAATTAGAGATAGGACAAGAATTGGAGAAGAGTGAAGAGGATCAGAAAATGTCATAGGCTCATGACACCCACATCAGAGCATTGCACCAACTGTTAGGCCATTGCTCCAACTGTTCCTTTATCTCCTATTGGTTGAACCCCCAACCCCCCCCACCCACAGTTTTTTTCCCCTCTTTCACTCTATTTCTCTCACCCTCTCTCATGAGACACATTATTATTTCATTGCACCATTTTAAAAGCTGGGTGTGAAAGTTGTGGAATGCATTCAATGACTCACTCTCAGACAGTTTGGGAGAGGGAAGGAGCAATGAGACGAGAGGAGGAAATCAGAACAGAGCAAGGGAGACATGAAGAATGAAAAGGAAAAACATCTGGGATTGGACAGCTCATAACCTTGACATTCAGATAATTCATTTTATCACCCTGTCTTGGGCTTAAGGCCTTAAAATAACTGTAGCAAACACTGCTTATTCCTTAACTTAAGTCTGGTCATGGGGTGTGCACAAAATTATGAATATCATTATGTGACCGGAGCAGTACTTTTGGTAACCTCAAGCTTGTATAATGACTACGCCACCCTGGGAATTGCACCCAAGAAAATACTCAAGGACTGTAAATCCAATGATGCAATGAGAAGACGGAGACGTGCTTCCAACCAAACAAAAACTTTATTCAAAAAAAATAAAAAAAATAAATACAACTTTATATATATATACTGTATATATAAATAAAAGAAATGTTAAACCAGCATAATACTCTTCATAAGTTGACAAGTTTTATTACAGAAATGGTAATCGAAGTTCACCAGATTAAAAAAAAAAACGTTTTACTACACATTCATAATACAAAAAAAAAAACTAACACAAGACAAAAAAAACAATCCCCCAAGTATAAAGAAACTTTGTACCTTCCCCACCAACCAATATAAACACAAATTCTTACAAAAAAAAAAAAAGCGAAAGCAACAAGGCTGAAGCTTACCTTAGGGGTGGCAAACTAGCTGAAATAAACAGTGCTCTCAACCAAACATGTGTGCACAGCAAAAAAAAAAAAAAAAGCGAAAGCAACAAGGCTGAAGCTTACCTTAGGGGGGGCAAACTAGCTGAAATAAACAGTGCTCTCAACCAAACATGTGTGCACAGCAAACAATAGGAAGAGGTGCTCAAACCCTGGTGCTCCAAACTCACAACTGTGTTCTTCACCCAGGTGACTAGCTTCCCCTTCGGCACAGTCAGCTTTGGACCAAACTAGGGGGAAAAAAAGGAGAAATTAGTGGGTCAAATACAAAAATACAAATATCAAATATTCACTCAAGAAAGAAAAACAAATTACAATTGCTAACCAAAAAGGCCAATTAATGGAGTAGCCTCACTGGCAATAAACCAGAACCACTTATAATTAGGTTTTAATTGGAGGATACGCTACCAATTCGGCCTAAACAGCTCAACTCGGACCATCACACTCAAAACAAACACAAAAACAACAAATTGAAAGCACAAACACTATTTTCACACCACAAGAAACCAAACTATGAAAAACAGCAGCACGACCCGCAGTTGGTCATCAACTGGACTGCGGAAGACTGCAAAAACAAAACAATAATCGGAAACACAACAAACAACATATTGCCAAACAATTATCGCATCATACATACTCCGATCCGCTGCTACACAAGCATAGGATGTTAGGATGTCTTCATAAATATTGTTTCACTAAAAACACACAAAAGAAACACTTCAGACTAATAATTCAAAACGAAAATCAACACATGACAATACAACAGCCTGCATACCTAAAACTTCCAACGAGCGCTTGACGCAGCTCACCGAGGACTTAACAGGCATGGCTGCAACAACATCTTGCCGATATAAAAACAAGAACGAGCATTACTATAATAGACTAAAACACATAATACACGCGTAATCAACCATCACCTACTTCAACTACTGTGACACTGAAGACCGGAAGAGGGGTGGGTACGACAGAGGCTATGTTCTAATGCTTCCTGCCCAGACATTTAAATACTCTGACATTAATTATCCTCATTACTCACTCTCATAAAGGGACACCACCCGAAGAAGGGAAGCCCATGCCACACTGCCACAATTATAAATTACGTACATGTTTAAAGTCCAATATAATATGATTGACTTGGGCTTGTTGTCAGTGCAGAGAGGGAACTTTTTCTTCTCATGTCATATAATATATAGTATAGTATACATACAGTACATATATGGCATGTGGTATTTGGTTGTCTTCTGAAATCTGGAAAATTCTCACTTTGTCAAATTCCATGTACCAGCTTTTTTTTCAGTGTTTAAATTTCTCAGTTAAAGGCATATGGAACAGCGTTTACGTTACACAATCAACAAGAAATCAATATTACAATATTCTCGTCTATATTATAGTTTTATTTATATTGCTTTTTATATTTTTGCTATGTTTATATTAAGTTTATTATGATTTATGAAAAATTATCAGTTTAAATATGAAACATTGTAACACTGTACTTTTTTTTTTTTAAATAAAGATTCAAAGGGTTTTGCCAAAGAAAAACAAATTTGGGTTCCCCAAAGAACATTTTGGTAAAAAGTTATTAAAAAATAAAAAAATTTTTATTAATAAAAAGGATATTTAAATAATCTGAAGAACACATTCCACTATTTGAAAAAAAAAATGTTCAGTGGAAGTTAAAGGTTCTTCATGGAATCAATGAGGCCAATTAAGAACATGCAGGTGTAAGTGTGAATTTGTGGCTTTTGTGATTGGCTATCCATTTTCCAGTTATGACCATATGACATATACATATATGTCATTTTGGAGAACGCTAGATATGAAATGTTGGAATTAGAACTTCTGATCAATTTTAATCATTGGTTTCAAAATTAATTCCTATTTTTAATTTTATGTTTGTAGACGTTCAGCTAATCCTGTGGGATCTTATTTGATTCTTTGAATATGCTTATTTGATCCCAAAAAGATTCTCCAAATTATGATTAGCTTTGACAACAGAAACACAACTGTGCAAACAGTGCTGCCCCTCTGCAAAATCACCGGCCGACATGCTCAGACAGCTTTATAGTTGTCTGCTATCTGCTGTCCCGCAGTCTGCTTGTTTGAGTGTTTACCAGGAGATAGCAGTGTCTTCTCAACCTCCAGCCCCTCCATACCGCAATTGTGTTGTTGCTCACCCCTCTCTCATTTTGTCAGAGTGTGGAGTGTGTGCAGAGGCTGCTGGTTCAAGGCTTTTCGCTGTGTAATACCAGATGTCTGAGGCTTTAGTGTGTGGCTGAGGGAGTCCAGGCCCCAGGCACAGGTGTAGATAGCCACTGGGCCCCACATCAAAGTTCCTCTAGATAACCCAGCAGCGTTTCATGTGTGAGGTATCTTTCCACAGAGCAAAACGTCTCCCTCTCCCCATCCTCCTGCTTTTCTCAATCCTATACTATCTCTGTTGGCTGTCTGTGGGTCTGTGATCCAGCAGACCAGACTACTTCCTCTCCTCCTCCACAATGTTTCACTCTGTCTTTTTCCCTTCATTCAACATGGTGAATGGTGAATTAGAGGTCTACAACCCAACCCAAGCTAGACGGGACCAGACAAACTTCAGGTTTGTGTTGATGTTCTGGTTTATAATAAAGAAAAAAAATAGATATATAGACACACACTGTATATGTAATTAAATTATTATATTATTTAATAATAATATAATATTATATATATATATATATATATATATTAGGGCTGTCAGTTTAATACGTTAACTTAATTAGTTATGAAAAAATAACGCGATTAAAATAATTTAACACAGTTAACGCTCTGGCCCCGCCCCCAGACCTGTATGTCATCTTACATTTCATACAGTTGACTGTTGACAAATATGATGCAGGACCAGGGTTGCCAGGTTTTCACAACAAAGCCCACCCAACTGCTACTCAAAACTCCGAGGCAGAGTCCGGGGCTTAGAGGCTGGAGGCGGAGTCAAGGGAAACTCCAGCTACGGCTACCCCGGAGG